AGTCTCAAACAGCTTGTGAGCCACAAATACCAAAATGAGTGGCTAACTGTGCTAAAACGGTCAAATACATACAAAATTATGTCAAAATGCCCGTTTGGCGAGTATCCAGTTAAACACAGTCAGTTTTGGAACGTTAAATAGTTGAGAAAGAGAACACATGTTGTGTAAAGCCCAGCTCACACTGTGCGATTTTGGCCAAGATTTGGTCGTCCGAGACAAATTTTGAAAATCCTAAAAGATTCCTATAATCCTAGGCTAAAATCTGTAGTCTTTGATCGTTAGTTTGACATGTTCACCGACAGCCGATTAATGGACGTTGCGATCAAATTGTACCTCCGACGAACTTCTGGTTAATAGACTGAATCATGCAGTGAAAGAGCGCACTGTAAATGCGCACGCGCACTAGACTTCACGTAATGTGTGCACTCTGTAGGTGTTTTGAATGTTTTTTTGCGCCGTGAGAATATTGAGCAATAGCTCACTTGTCATGGTGTTACTTAACGATATCATGTTATGAATAAACTAAACATTTTTAATTTTACCTCAGTGTGTTTCTTCTGAGTTTATGTGTGCTGTCACGCTCATTTGTTCTGAAGTCTCGAGACAAACAGAGCCTCAGCGCGAGCTTGTATTCTGTATTCTGCTAACTTACTGCAATTCTCTCTGATGGGTCTGTCCAATGATTGTAAACAGTCATTAGGTCCGTCAGACTGAAGATATCTTAGCGGTAATGTGACCAAAAATATTTAAGACCCATCGAATCCGAATTTAAGACATTAAGACTTTTTAAGGCCTTATATTAGGAAAACGTTATTTAAGACATTTTAAGACTTTTTAAGGACCCGCGGACACCCTGCCACAGTGTGACATGATCATCATGTTCGTACAGTCTGACAAGTACAATCCTAAAGGACTTTTCCTAAAGGAAAAATCGCACAATGTGAGCCCGGCTTAACAGTATATTGGGTCCGTGGATAAACTCTTAAAGGGACCGCAGTCCAATATTCCTGCAGCTGTCTGTCATGTTAATCAAAGAACAAAAGACAAAGAAAATCACTTTCTGCTCTTGACTCCATACGTTTTATAACTTTAATGGTAAGCATCAATCTGTATTTAATTTTTACAATGAAGATTTTACAATTAAAATCAAATGTAAAATAACACTGAATGTTATTTTTTCATAGCTCTCTTTATTCTATTGCATTTATTTGTGCTGTTGTTTGCAATTTTTGTATTTGTTCTTATTTTATTAACGACTTTTTACTTGTTTTTTTATGAAAATAAAACTTCGCGTTGAAGAAAAGTAGATTTTTGTTTGTATATGCTGTCAATTATAGTTCTTAGAAAGAAAATCAGAATCGGCAAAAATCGGTATCGGCAGATCACACTAACAAAACAAAATCGGAATCGGCCAAGAAAATTGCAATCTGTGCATCTCTAGTGCACACACATGTATTTAAGCATAAAATCTGCGTATTTATGCAAAAATCTCACATTTTCAAGAACAAAACATGATTCATCAATGACTTCAGAAAAACAAAGAATCAGAAAAAAAAAAAAAAAAAAAAAAAAAAAGTAGGAACAACTGAACCCACATGCAAAAAAAATAAAATAATCACATATTCTGACTGCCCATATAATTATGTCGAGATTTTACACAGTTCTTTCATCTAAAATATATGGTAAGTTAACACTTTATTATAAGGACCACTTCTCACTATTAACTAGTTGCTTATTAGCATGCATATTACTAGCATACTGGCTGTTTATTATTACGTATAAAGCACATATTTTGCATGACCATATTCTACATCCCTAATCTTACCCAATACCTAAACTTAACAACTACATTACTAACTAATAAGCAGTAATTAGGAGTTTATTCAAGCTAAAGTCACAGTTAATAGTTAAATAGCCTTCCTGATAATGTTCGGGGTTCAGACACACTCTCTTCTGTAAAGACACATCTCTTTAGCCAAGCATTCACATAATGTATCTCATAACCTTGTACTTCAGTTATAGCTGATCAAATGCACATCAACATTCGTTTGCTTGGGTTGAACGCATTCTTTTTTGCTTAGTTGGAACAGCAGCTACGCTCATTTTTCTCTATTTCCTTCTGGATTGGCATCCCGTGGAAACTAGGACCACAAGCTTCAGTCTGGATCCAACCCTTACAAAGACCTGAGATGACCGAACACCTGAGAAGAGATGATGCCAAGCCCTCAGAGGACCTCAGATGATGCCAACCCTCAGACAACATACAAAGCTACCAAATTTTGCTAGAAGTTTGATCACAACATATAATCATTGCTGTTAATAGTGTTCACCGTCTGTTTGATTACATGACATTAACTGCTTGATTTTTACCGTAAATTTCTGCCATATTATGGACATCAACTTGAGATAGTCACCACTGATAAACTATTACTAAATATAACGTAGAAACTTGAATTTTCTGTAAAGCTGCTTTGCAACGATTTGCATCATGAAAAGCGCTATACAAATAGACTTGAATTGAACTGAATTAATAATTGTTTGAACTGGTTTTGAGGACAGCACTTTTGGCATTATTTGAGAATCTTGCTGCATGTCTCTCAGATGGCTCTTTAGAGAGCGTCACATGTTTGCTGAGAGTCACGAAAGGCTGTAAAGTAAAGGCTGTGTAGAAAGCCCTTATATGGAGACGGCTTTGGGCACACAGCCGCTGCTTCAGAAGAGTCTAAATTCATTAACATTAGAACGAGGTTAACAAGACATTCATGTGTGTACGGACATGTTGTGAATTAGGTGGATATTTTTTTTTAAGTAGTTCTCCTGTGCATACAAATAACGCAAGTATTAGTGAATGAGACCCGTTAAGTTTTGTGTGACTTCTTAAACACTATTGTTATGAATTGTGCTGACTTTGAGACAGATAATGATTAAGTTTTTTGAAGCTTTGCAAAAATGAAGTGATTACAGTAATGAGAACGAGATTTTCACATCTATTTAAAGTGACGTGACATGTGGCCAGGAGCAGTTGGGGGTTCGGTGCCTTGCTCTAGGGATGCAGCGATTAACCGGTTTCGCGATTAACCACGCTTTAAAACGTCACGGTTAATTAATCGTAAAGGTTCCGCTAAAACCGAGTGTTTCTGTTACACGGAACGGAACTGTAGCAGCTTGCGCAAAACGAAAAAAGTTACACTAGCAGTGCACCAGCTTAAAATGACGTGCTTATCAGAGGCACGGAGGCTACTACATGCATTAGATGAACTGACAGAGGGACCAAACAGCGAAGCTTTATTTCCACCAGAGAAATGCTTGTCGAACTCTCTAACCATTAGGCCACGACTTCCCCCATTTGAGTGCGTGTCAAGGGTCACTCTGTAAACAATTGAGTATGTGTGTAAAAATAAAGCATGATTGATCACCTCTGTTTGACTCCTGGTAAACAACAGATTTCCCCAGCTCAACTCCAAGACGCCTGCGCAAACACACACACAAGCAGAAATCAACACAGGTATGCCAAACGTTTCTTATCATGAAAGTCACTTTGAAACGGAGCTGCATGACAACCTGATTCAATAGATTTGATTATTTCAGTCACAGTTTGCAATGAATGCAGACTACTTCCAAGAGCAGGCAGTCACATGCACAGCTTATGTGATGAATAGCCCACTGTTCACCAGTTCTCCTGCTCTCTTCAAGTGGAGAAAATATTGCATTTACTTTCCACGGTAAGTACACTTAAAACCAGACGTCCACATGCCTATAGGGATACTTTATAGATTAATTATTTCAGTTATCAGTCCAAATCCTCATAGTATACTGCAGCTGGAAGGAGGATTGTTTGTACAATTCGACATCAACATAATGAGATTAAGAAACAGGCCAGGCTGTCGTTTGTTCTGTTGATCTACAGGCCACAATCTCAATAACATCACTACACACTCATATAACATCAAGATCAGCATCTCAAATCAAGATCCTTGTTAAATATTAAGCAGGTGGTCATAGGATACTTACTCAGTAATCTTCTTAGAGAGTTCAGTGCACGCGGGCGTAGAGTTGGCCGAGAAAACACGATAACCACTTTTAGCCACGTTCATGATCAACTACCTAATGGTCAACAACAAAACTAAGACGTTTATAAGTCTAATGCTACACAGTCGCGTGGTTTTATCGCTGTCTTATATAGGAATGTTAATAGCTAATGAAGAAGTCCAACGGCAGCTCTGCAAGTTTACTGTGGGTTCTTCTTCTCCTTCTTCTTCTGAAGCGTTTTTGGCGGTTGGCAACCAGCTAATAGGTGCTTTACCGCCACCTGCTGGACTGGAGTGTGGAACAACAGTCAGACTGAGAAAGATAACAGGAGAAGAAGAAGAAAAAACCTACTATTCTATGATCTTCATATTCGTTCTAGTAGACCTGTCTCTTTCAGATATATGAAATTAACTGTACATATGTTTTCCTTAGTGCTGTTCCAAGTATATTTTCCAAAGTAAATATAAGTTTATATTTTTCAAATACTTCTTTTAATATTATCCTCTTATTTTCATATGCATGACATTCTATTATTATATGTTTTACTAATTCAGGTTGGTTACAATGTGTACATAAACCATTTGTGTGTTTACCTATTAAATGCAGAGTCTTATTGAGCCCTGTATGTCCTATTCCTCCCTCCGATTTGTACCCATTTCTCTTCCTACACCGACTTTGCTTTGAATATTATAATAATGTCTTCCTGTATCATTAATATCCCCGTATTCCTGCCATAGATTTTGTGTATGTACCTTTATTATAGTCTTGGCTTCAGCTTTACTTAATTTAACCTGTAGATCTATTGTTTGGGATTTGAGAGATTGTTTTGCCTAAAAAATCTACCTCTTCGTTTCCTTTCACACCTACATGCGCAGGAACCCAGATAAATGATACATTCATACCATTATGTAATCTAAGGATTATTTGATATATGTAATTTAAAATGTCAAGTATACATGATTTCCCGGATCAGGGCCGTCCTTAGCTTACACGGGGCCCGGTGCGAGGTAGGGGGCGGGGCCCCCCTCGGTCCATTCGCGATCGCGTTCCGGGGGGGGGTTGGGTTGGTGGGGGTTATTCTCTTATTTTCATATGCATGACATTCTATTATTATATGTTTTACTGATTCAGGTTGGTTACAATGTGTACATAGACCATTTGTATGTTTACCTATTAAATGCAGAGTCTTATTGAGCCCTGTATGTCCTATTCCTCCCTCCGATTTGTACCCATTTCTCTTCCTACACCGACTTTGCTTTGAATATTATAAAAATGTCTTCCTGTATCATTAATATCCCAGTATTCCTGCCATAGATTTTGTGTATGTACCTTTATTATAGTCTTGGCTTCAGCTTTACTTAATTTAACCTGTAGATCTATTGTTTGGGATTTGAGAGATTGTTTTGCCTAAAAAATCTACCTCTTCGTTTCCTTTCACACCTACATGCGCAGGAACCCAGATAAATGATACATTCATACCATTATGTAATCTAAGGATTATTTGATATATGTAATTTAAAATGTCAAGTATACATGATTTCCCGGATCAGGGCCGTCCTTAGCTTACACGGGGCCCGGTGCGAGGTAGGGGGCGGGGCCCCCCTCGGTCCATTCGCGATCGCGTTCCGGGGGGGGTTGGGTTGGTGGGTGTTGGGTCCCGTTCGCCGCAGGGCCCCCTCAAGCACGGGCTGTCACTGACGCCTCAGTGTATTCTGGGATTTGCACTGAGATCTTTAGAGAGGAATCAGTGATTTATCACAGGAAGGTTTACAGTTTTGTACATCTGAGCCTTCAGGAGTTTTTTGCAGCACTGTATGTGTTTTTCTGCTATTTACACAAGAACAGTGAGATTCTGAAAATGTTCCTGACAGGAAAGTCCAGAACTCAGTGTGAGAATATTCCTCTGGATGTGTTTCTAAAGTAAGCAGTGGATAAAGCTTTGAACAGTAAAAATGGACGCCTGGATCTTTTCCTTCGATTTCTTCATGGCGTCTCACTGGAGTCCAATCAGAGACTCTTACAGGATGTACTGCTTCACACAGAGAACAACCCAGAGATCATCAAGAAAATAACCCAAAACCTCAAACGAGGTCAAAAAAACAATGTCAGTCCTGAAAGATGGATGAATCTGTCACACTGCTTGATTGAGATGAAAGATAATTCTGTTGTTAAAGAAACGCAGGAGCTTTTAAAATCTAAAGCAAAAAGTAAAAGTCTTACTCTTGCACAATGCTCAGCTTTGGCAAACATGATCCTGACATCAGAAGAGGTGCTGGATGAGTTTGACCTTAAACAGTACAATATCAACACTAGAGAGGGTCGATGGAGACTGTTACCTGCTGTGAGGAATTGCAGAAAAGCTCTGTGAGTATGAAAATATACGCATAATTATATTCTACAGAAGTTGGGGTGGAGGTTTGTTAAAATATTATTGTATTTGTATACAATTGTATTGTATTGTATAAAAACTAATATTGATTCAGATGAGAATGTATACATCATGTTTACATTCTCAACCCAAATCAAAATCAGTTTTATGTAAAAATAGGATTGCACTTTGTGAACATAGCCATGTTACCAGTAAAACTAGTCTAACTCTAAGACAGTCATTTAAATCAATAGAATTGGTTTATCTAATAAAGTAACTCATGATGCACATAATGTACAACAGGGATCTTCAACTCCAGCCATGGAGGACCAGTGTCCTTCTGAGTTTAACCCTAACCAAACACATTCAAACAAGCTAGTCCTAGTGTTCTCAATTACTTGCAAGTTACAGTTGTGTTTAATAAGGGTTAGAACTAAAGTCTGCAAAACATTGAAAAAGCCCTGATATACATAATTTACTTTTAATTAAGTAAGATTTTTATTTAAATTTTTGGACCAATTTTTTCGAACAGACTAGAGAGTGAATGTTAAACTAACATGCTCTTTTATAGTGCTTCTTAAACCTGTCCTGGGGACCACAGCACATTTTGGATGTCTCCCTCATCCAACACATCTGTTTTAACTAATCCGCTCACTAGTACAGGCAAGACTTGAATTGGGTGTGACTGATTAGGGAGAAATCCAAACTGTGCATTGGGGGTATAATAGTTCTCTGTAAAATAAATAAATAGATAAATAATCGTACAGTTCGCCACCCTCAGTTTGGTACGCATTTGTACTGAGATTAATCTCAGTTCTAACAAAGGATGTGGATGATCTGTTTTGGCAAAGAAAACAAAGAGAAAATACAATTCTATCTTGGGTTCATTTAACTTTATTAAATGAACTATGATTTTTGCTTTCATTGTGGGAACTGAAATGGGAAACTCAACCTTTCTCATTTACAGAGCTGACAGGATGATTGTTTCTGGTCAACTTACTTGAGTTTGTCCAGATGTTTGAGTGTATCCGAGAGCAGCTTCACTCCTGAATCTCCTGGGTGATTGTAGCTCAGATCCAGCTCTCTCAGGTGTGAGGGGTTTGAACTCAGAGCTGATGCCAGAGCAGAGCAGAGCATAAAAAAATACACAGCAGAGGCTTGTCTATCTGCGTTTGTGTGAGTGTTCTGCAAGTTCACAGCCAAACTCAAACTGTCTCGTGGACATCTCGACATGGATAAAAGAACATCACCTACAACTTAACCTAGAATCTTGAGGTGACCCTTGATGATCAGCTGACCTTTAATGATCATATTGCAAAAACAGCATGATCATGCTGGTTTGCATGTTTTCAAGGAGCAACTGAAAACTCATCTCTTCCGTGAGAATTTAACTGCATCCTGCTAAAAAAAAAATTCCTCTATTTTTTTTACTATTGTCTATACTGTCATTATCCCTTATCCTTTCCTGTTCTAGCTTTTACTATTTTAACTGAACTCTTGTATTACTAGCACTTCTCGTGTTTATTGCATCCTATGATGAATCACTTGTATCCCTCAACTGTAAGTCTCCTTGGATAAAATCATCTACTAAATGAAGAAATGTTAATGTACACCGCTAGATAGCGCTGTCGAATATAGGAGCAAAGTGTAGCAAAAGAAGATGTTCATTTGTCTCCGTGAAGAGGCAGCTGTGTTAACGAGTTGAGGAAAAATTATCTTGTAAATTTAGCTATTGTGTCCTGTTGCTATATAAATAAACAAAATATATTATGAAGATTTCGGATCTCTAGATTCATCACTTGTATCCCTCAACTGTAAGTCTCCTTGGATAAAATCATCTACTAAATGAAGAAATGTTAATGTACACCGCTAGATAGCGCTGTCGAATATAGGAGCAAAGTGTAGCAAAAGAAGATGTTCATTTGTCTCCGTGAAGAGGCAGCTGTGTTAACGAGTTGAGGAAAAATTATCTTGTAAATTTAGCTATTGTGTCCTGTTGCTATATAAATAAACAAAATATATTATGAAGATTTCGGCTACTTTATGCAGGCTGTGTGCATTTTACTGTGGACTGACTGTTTTGAAACTTATATGGTAGTTACATAGCACCTAGACCTCAGTTACCGTGAAAAAAAGCCAGGAAATTTAAGTTTTGACAATATGGGACCTTTAAAAGACTTAAAAGATGATGGAGCCCAACAGAACGGTGTGCAGTGACATTTACTAAAATATTTATTTTTAATATATATGTATTTAATGTTGGACTTCAATTTACCTTGAATTTTATTTGTTTCGAGAACAACTGTAACTTAACTGTAATGAATTTATTGTAAAGTGTCTCTTACATTTACAGAAAAAAAATGAAAGTAACATGTCATTTTACCCCCACCCCCAAATCAGTACTGAAAATGTGACACCAGAACCGCAATATGTCCCAAACCATGAACCACGAACCTTGAACCTTTAAACCCTTAATGTGCACTAATGGGGGTCCCCAGGACAGGTTTGAGAAGCAGTGAACTAAGGACGTTTTTATTTATTTATTTTTTTTACACCAGCCTTTTAAGAATATTTGAAAAATGCCCCACTATTATAAAGAACCTTTCATGGAAAGAAATGATTCCATGGATGTTAAAGGTTCTTTAGGGAACCATCAATGGCAAGAAAAAAGAAAACACGCTTTGTTTGACTGTACAATGTACAAAAAAATGTAACTTGTTTCTAGATATTAATCAAAATCTGCTAATGGGTAATAATGGAACAGTTTTCAAAAGTTTTTTTTTTTCCAGTATTGTATACAACAGGATCTGCATTTTAATGGGTTTAAATAAAATATTTTTGTTATAAGAGACAATAAAAACTAATTTGTGCATCAAAATCACACCTTTCAT